AGTTTCAATCTAATATTTCTCCTAAAATCAATTATAAACTTAACCAAACCCTCTTGAAATTGAGCTATAAATTCCAAACGACATTTTCAATAATTTGTAGGAACATCCTATCCAAACTAATCACAAATTCGTAAAATTCAAGTAATGAATTCAAAATTTGAATCTTTATAATGACCATCAATGGTGAACTCTTGTTGTTGTATTTTAGAGATTTGAAATTTTTACTTGAAAACATGATTTTGTACAAATTTTCATCTTTCCATTTCTTTTTTCGTTGTATTTTTTGGATAAAAATAATGAAAAATTGATTTGTTATTTAAATGAAAATTTGAAAGAAGAAGAAGATTTTTTTTTTAAAAAAAAAGAGAAAAGAAGAGTAGGAAGATAATAATTATAGAGAAAGAAAGATGAAAGAAGAAGAATTAAAAATAAAGAGGAAGAGGAAAAAGGGCCGAAAGAGGCAAGCGACGGTACTATTTTTTTTTAATTCCAAAAAATTGTTATATTTAGTTAGAAAAATTATATTGACATAAATGGTAAATATTTTTTTAATATAGCATATTTATGTGATTTACCCTTAAAAAAATACATAGATATACAAATCAAATATATAAAAAAGCATTCACATATAGAATATATACAAAAGCATTCAAAAAATGTTACAACTAGGAGCTATAATGTATTCTTCCTGATAACATACAATTCTGAACTACAAAAATCACACGTGGGTTACAAAACTACATATAATTTATATAAATCAAATGTATCAACATTACGTATATAAAAAAAAATTAAAATAATAAATGCTAGGAAAAAAATCACAAAAAATATACAAATTAATTTATAGAAATACCTCAATTTCTTCACCATCATATCTGTCATGCCTATGATTTAATTCAGTAGAGTTGGAAATTTTCTCGTGTCCTCTCTCTTTCATCGGTGACACCAATCACCACTACTAACTTCATCTATCCAAATCCTCTTTTCATTTTTCTCCAGTCACCACTATTAACTCAATCTACCCAAATCCTTATTTCATTTTTTCCTCATCTTTATCTCTGTTAGCATTCTTTGAATTCGATTTTTGCATGATTTATTATATCCTGATGGGTTTATTGCGGAACTTAGATTTATTTTTTGCAAGAACTTTCGATTTTTTAATGAAACTTGCGATTTCTCCGAAATCTTGAGTTAGACCCAGGGAAAATAATGGAGGAATATCATATTTTATTGTATGCAAATGTATACCTCAGTAATTCTCTTTGATGAAGATTGTTCCTTTCAAGCCACTTTTCTTTAACTATAACCGTTATTTATAATTAATTAAGCATTAGTTATTATGCATAATTAACTATTATATGTTAGCTTAGTTATGTAATTTTTCCATTAATGAATTGTCATTGGATTCAATAATAGTCATTGTCAAGCCCATCCATAACTTATAGATGTCTTCTATGGATGGGCTTGGAGATCAATAACTGACATCGGACGTTAAACGTAGATGTTAATAGGCCATTTTGGGTTGTATTCTTCAGGACATGTCCTTGTGCAGAAAAAAATGTCTTTTTTTACATTAGACTCGAGAATTTTCTATATGTACAAAATTAGATTTATATTTACTAAATGTAGCATATTTTTTTTTATTTGTTAGACATAGTAGGCGTTTTTTTCTCAATACAATACACGAAATCATACTTTAAGAATCTCGCTCGAGGCGTAAAATTCGGTTCTCATTTTGTGTATGAAAACGATATAAAATCAGAATGAAATGTGAATAGCTTGTTCAAGACAATTTCATGTATGACCATTTTATAAATCGATATAAAATATCTATATCTGCTCAAGGTTTAGAATTCCATTCGCAATTTTTATGTATGATAATTGTACAAATTCTATATGAAATATGAATTTTCTACCTCCAGCTTGCATTCCGCATCGTCCGATTGCGTATGGAGGTGGAGGTGGAGGTGGAGGTGGGGTGGAGGTGGAGGTGGACATTGGCTTTGACACCACAGTTTGCCGCAATGCTGTTTTGTAGTTCTGCAATAACCCCACATGCTACAACACGATCCATAAGGACATTTTTTATAGCAACCTTGACGTCCTCATTCGTAGTCATCTACGCGCACACGATAATTTAGATCAATTGATAAGATTTCTTACATAATAGTTGACGTATCATATATCACATGCTCAAATATATAGAAAAAATCGACAACTACAATGGCGGAATTGCAAGAACTTCTGATTTTTTTAATGAAACTTGCAATTTCTCCGAAATCTTGAGTCAGACTCTGAGGAAATGATTGCGGAATATCATATTTTATTGTATGCAAATGTATACCTCAGTAATCCTCTTTGATGAAGATTATTCCTTCCAAGCCACCTTTCTTTAACTATAACCGTTATTTATAATTAAATTAAGCATAAATTATAGGAACCACATATTATAAGTACTAAATAACATCTTATCCCTTCTAGTTTTCTATTTACTCCACAAGTACAAGTGTATATACATTTTTAAGATGTATAAATTATAGGAACCACATATTATAAGTACTAAATAACATCCTATCCCTTCTAGTTTTCTATTTACCAAAAATCCCTTAAAAATGATGTTTGCGGGATACATAGCATTGTGCACGGGATACATAGCGTTGTGCGAGGGATACATGTGGGATACATAGGTAAATAAGGGATTTTTGAAATTTTTGAAATAAGTAGGGATAAATGGATATTAAGGTAAGTAAAGGAGTGTAGTTAAGTAATTATTTGTCCTTAAATTAAACATTAGTTACTATGCATAACTAACTATTATATGTTAGCTTAGTTATGTAATTTACTAATTTTCTCATTAATGGATTGTCATTAGATTCAATAATAATCATTGTCAAGTCCATCCATAACCTGTAGATGTCTCTATGGATGGGCTTGGAGATCAATAACTAACATCGTACGTTAAACGTAAATGTTAATGGGCCATTTTGGGTTGTATTCTTCAGGACATGTCCTTGTGCAGAAAAAAATATATTTTTTTACATTGGACTTGAGAATTTTCTATATGTACAAAATTAGATTTATATTTACTAAATGTAACAGATTTTTTTTATTTGTCAGACATAGTAGGAGTTTTTTTCTCAATACGTACACGAAATCATACTTTAAGAATCTCGCTCGAGACGTAAAATTCAGTTCACATTTTGTGTATGAAAACAATTTAAAATCAGAATGAAATGTGAATATCTTGTTCAAGACAATTTCATGTATGACCATTATATAAATCGATATAAAATATCTATATCTGCTCAAGGTTTAGAATTCCTTTCGCAATCTTTATGTATGATAATTGTACAAATTCGATATGAAATATGAATATTTGCTCATATTGATTTCTGAAAATTTAATCCAATTACAACATAATTGTATGAAACTTTCATATATTATTCCTACAAATTGGTAATTTTGCATTTCAAACTAATTAATACAAGAGGAATTTTCATAAATAACTACTATAAAAAACTTAATTAGGAGAAATTTAAAATTTGATTGTGCTTGAATGAATTAAGGAGAATAATCAATAAAAAGATGGTTAAAGTAGATGATGGCCAGCACAAATTAGCACCCTCTTTTAATTTGATGCTATTAATAATCGTTTTTTTTTTTATCGTTGCTTCATCTTTTGGTACGTTTAATTGCAGTGCCTTATGCATAGGAAATAAAATAAAATAATATGAGTTTTGGTTGATTAAATAGATGTATATGTCCTTTTTTCAATAGATTCTCTGGCAGTGCCTGAACTACTTGCGGAAAAAGGAGCAACCTCCTTATAGTTTTCAAGTAGTACTAATAATGGTCATGACTTATCAACATGGGTTGTGGTGCACTATTGCGTCCTTAATTAGAGGTTTTGAATTCAAGAGATGATGTAGCTTCGAAAAGAACATGCAGCTTATTTTGCAACCACACAACATCCAAATTCCAACGTAGCAATGGATATTTTTGTAACTTCATGACAACTTGCTTAAATGCATAAATAATAGATGTAGATGTTGTATCATTTGGGAAGTACGCAACATTTTATGAGTGGATATTTTGTTCCTAAATTTATGTAAACAATATGAAGCGTATGTGATGCATGTTGCTTATATAGGAAAGACTATTTTATACCACGAACCTGCTAATTTAATATTTTTAATTTATACAAAAGTCCTTTATTTATTATAGTATTAATCAATGCATTATAGTAACATTTAGCTAGACAATACCGTCAAGCAAGAAGGTTTCAGTACCACTCATAGTGGACGAAGTTATAGTGTTGCACTGACTTTGACACCACTGTTTGGCACAATAATATTTTGTGGTTCCACACCAACCAGATGAACTACAACACAATCCAGTAGGACATTTTCTACCTCCAGCTTGCATTCCGCATCGTCCGATTGCGTATGGAGGTGGAGGTGGGGGTGGAGGTGGAGGTGGACATTGGCTTTGACACCGCGGTTTGCCACAATGACCTTTTGTAGTTCCGCAATAACCCCACATGCTACAACACGATCCAGAAGGACATTTTTTGTAGCAACCTTGATGTCCGCACTCGTAGTCATCTACGCGCACCATAATTTATTTAGATCGATGTGGTCTCACATGCTCAAATATATCACCAAAAAATTCAGGGGAATTAGATAAATATGTTTAATTCGATGAACAATTTTTAGAAAGAAGCAATAAGATAGAAGGAAATCTTTTAGCAATCCCCCATCCACGTACAACTAAAAGAGGAACATACAAATAAAGAATCTTTCCTAATAAACGCCCTAATTGGCTTTAATCTAAACATCCAATTAGAATTATATATGTGCTACTACGAGAACTGACAGAATGTATGTGATTTATGTCATTTGCCCATTTAAACTAACTCATATGTGTTATTTAATAGGTTATCTAATTTAAATCGGAAAAAAAATCAACAAAAGGAGAAAACAGATAAATTGTGATATTGATCATAGAGAAGTGTTACATCATCTTGTTTATGCTTAGCTTGATTATATATATATAAATTCTGCAAATGTTTTTTTGTGAAAGGTTCTTAATATATAAAAAGACATGGATATTATGTTCTTAAATGCATATTTATTAAGAAAAATATTTTTCACTTAATATAGAATAGAGGGAGCATAAAGCAATTAGTCCACCAATTAATTAGTATGCAATGCATTAATATTTGATCTCACTTTACCCAAATGATGAGTAAGAAGGTTTTAGTGTTTTATACCTATCGTGCGATTTTTACACTGACTTTGACACCGCTTTGGGTTGCAATAATATTCTGTTGTTCCGCACCAACCTTCTTCACCACAACACGATCCATCAGGACATTTTATACCTCCTGCTTGCACTCCACATCGTCCCGGTGGAGGTGGAAATGGGGATGGAGGTGAGGGTGGAGATGGACATTGGAGTTTACAGTACTTATAGCCGCAATGCTCAAACGTTGTTCCGCAATAACCCAACTTACTACAACACTGTCCAGTAGGACATTTTTCGTAGCAACTTTCGTATCCGCAACGTTGTTCATCTTTATCAGAACGAAGAGATAACGAGCTCGCTAAGCTCTTCTTAGAATTAATTATTATTATTATTTGTATGAGGAACAAAGTCAGACCCAAAATATTAATGCACCCTTTCATTATTTTAATTTGTGATAATTGATAGATAATAGTTGACGTCTCACATGCTCAAATATATAGAAAAAATCGACAACTACAATGGCGGTGTTTAATTCGATAACAATAATTAATCCACCTACCATGAAGACTTTTAATTCGATGAACAATTATATTAGAAAGAAACATTAAGAGAGAAGGAAATATTTGGCTCCTACTCTAATCTATTTCTCTAATACTCCATTTTCCTTGACTTTTGGATTTAAACACGTGACATGAGTGAAAATTATTGACTAAGATTTAACGGATTAAAATAAAATTTTAATTATAATTTTGATAATTAATCTTTCATAAAAAATATTAACTGCCACAGTTATAACTATTTATAATAATTGTTAATTTGTTATGTTACTTTGATCCAAAATAGGGATATAAATATGAGCATGTGGAGTAATAGAGTCATGTGGGAGTATTTATAAACTATACCAAAAGAGGAACATACAAATAAAGAAGGGGGGCATAACCTTAACTTCCAAATAGTCAAATTACGACTCATCATAGGAAAAAATAGTAGTTCAATGACAAAGACATAAAGTGAAGAAATCGATCGGCGGTATCATTTATACATACATTAATACCACCCATTAGATAAATATGGTATCACTATATGTGGGTTAAATGGGTATTTTATTAAAAATATTTTTTAAAAAGAAAAAAAGCTATCATCTATCATTGAGTTAGTGTTTTTTCACTGCAATCAAATCAGCTTATGCCACGTAAGTGTGCTTGAAAATTTCGATGAGGAGCTTTCAGAAAGAAAAGAAAATTGTTGCGAAAACTATTTTCAACAAAACTTTAATATTAATGGAAAATGAGGATCTAATTAATTATTGTACAATCATTATTTAGTGTGTCCTAAAAATTAGTTTTGTAGATCCCTACAATATATTAGTGGCACGTGCCCAAAACCTTAAAGGAAACAAATACTAATACTACAAGAAAACTCAAGGTACCTTTAATAAAACTGTTTATCACAACTATTTTTCTATTTCAATTAATGTGTTTTATTTAACTGAATATGAAATTTAGAATCTTAAATATGCTATGATATTTTTTTTATTAAAAAAATGTGATTTTTAAATATGTATAACATTTGAGCAGATATTAAAGTTTGTTACAAGAACAACATAAATATCTAAGCTAAGTTGTTTTAAAATTTTAGAACTTTTTTTTGTTAAAATAAGGTCACATAAATTAAAAAGCAGAAGGCATAATTGTATACATTATTGGGGGATCCTTATGATAGTCAGCCATAAAAGCTCTGGAAAATAGAAGAAATAGGTGGCGGCTGTTTCCATATCTAATAATGTCAGCCATAAGACAAATGTGGTGTCGCCGTTACACTAATTGTACCTCTGATTCCTTACCTTTGTATAACATAATTTCACACGACTATGTTTGGTTTCAAAAGTAGAGAAAAATTGTAAAGAAAAACAGTTCCTGAACTAAGAACCATGCCTTTGGTAATTAAAACGGAAAAGAAAATGAACTAGGAGAGATATGAAACAATCATCACATGTTTCACTCTTAAACAGAATCAATAAAGATATAAAGTGATTTGCCAGGTAAAATCTTCGAGTTCTCGAACAAGTTACACTCCATTGATCCCTCCCTTGCAAACAACGGTATGATTAAGCCATTAATCAATGAAAAGGGGGTGTGCTGCTTAAACTTTAATAAAACCAACAAAGTTCAAAAAAACATGTAGAGTTACGTAAGCAATTGCATGACCTCACCTAAATTCCCAACATTTTAAAGCCTCTCTACAGACACCAAAACCTATTCAACAAAACTTTTGGAGATGATAACTCGAAAAGAGGTAGTATAAGAATTCACTCATCATCATCCTCGTCTGAGCCTTCACTGTCCTTTTCCTGCATTAAGAAAATCAAGTTATACCAATGGAAGTCAACAGACACTCACAAACCACTTATATCGTTCAAGCTAATGATCTCTCATTTGGCTCTACGACCCAAGAACCATGTACAAAAGTTGTTTTATGTTATTCACAACGGAAAAGAAATTAGCATGTACTATATCTCTTGATCCCAAAAAAATCAACAGTGCATATGTCCTCAAGGCAAAAATGTTTGACAAGTGTCACGAGTCACGGCCCTACTGGAGCATGACAAACACTTGTTTGAAAAACTATTCAACCACACTGGCGTCTTTAGACACGCTTAGAAAAGGTTGAGTGTGTAAAGGGTTGATCGTGTTGGAGATGTGTATCACAAGGATTTGACCTCAAGGTCAGAGGGATAAACTATGTGTTCTGTCTATATAATATTCTGCAAATCACATAACGAGCATCAAAATAATACTATTCAACAAGGACCCAGTTAACTTTCCCTCAAACCACAAGATATCTCTATTGTGTATATCCAAGAGATTAAAGCTAAATGTATGTCAATTATACAAGGCAAATTATTTTGGATCCTCATCATAACTTTGCTACAGTAGTTTTTTACTTCAACAGAGAAAGCAGAGAAATGGCGGGGGCCAGGTATGTGAACATTCATTATACATCCTTTTACTTCAACAGAGAAAGGAGAAACAAGGTAGGGACCAGGAAGATGAACGCTAGTTATACATTTCGTACATCAAGTGTCCTTACCCATGTGTTGTTTGGTAAAACTAGAAACCGAAGTGAAAACATGATCATTCCTTCCTTTCTATTAAGATTTGGACGGTTGACATAACCTCCAGTTTTATTTCTGTTTTACTTCTGAAATGAAGGAATAAAAGAACTCAATGGTTTAGTTATCCCTCCCTTTCATCCTGAAATATAGTTCATAGTCTCCACAAAAAGGAGCATTCCCTATGCACTAGAATATTGAATTAAAAATCTATATTGTTACCAAAAATATATAATTAACTACTGGTAAATGGTAATATATAAATCTGCTATATTTTTCATGTAACACTGCAACAGACAAATTAGTTTTGAAACTAAGCTCACAATTTCCAGTGTAAAGCTAGAAAATCTTACTACCACGTCCTCTCCCATCATTACATATTTACACCATCTATCATCAATCATATCCTTAATTCTCTCTTCCTTTCTCTATGGATCAAAAGTCTAACAGATGTATGCCAAACTCAATCTTGTAATTTTTTAGAACAATAGCAAAGGTTGAGTTTGGCATTTTAAAAAAAAGAGTCGTCGTCCAAGGAAAGAGTTATTATTAAAAAAAGGTTCATCCCCTTGTCATACCAAAAGAAATCCTACATAATCATACAACATATTGTCCTTGGTTTAGGCAATCAACTCATATAAACCCCTTATGTTAATTTGATCATAGACTAATAAACCCAAAATAAAAGCTTTGGACATTCACAGAATAGTTGCTTTCCTATTCACACTGATGCAATTTCATTTTTTTTCATACTCCAATAGTGTAAAATCATATAGCTCACAAAAAAAAAAAGCAACAACCCTTTGTGCAAAATTGAGGACAATAGCCAGTTCTTCTCAGAAACAAAGACATATTCCCCAATAAGCATAAATATGGTCGGTCTTTTGATTGCCTTCACTAACTAATGACACTATATGCTGAAAGTTAACACCTTTTTTAAAGAGCGTGAGGAAAATTCTCAACAAGCTCTAAAAGAAGACACGGTCAAGTGGCGGTGGGAGTTGAACAACACCTGAACGATACTAAAATACAATTTGCCACTTAAGCCAGAAAGCATATATTAAGATATTGATCGAATAATGAAATGAAATAATTAAGCACAAAAAGAAACCAGTAACATTTGTCGGGAAAAAGAGAGACATATTTACAGTTGCAAACAAATAAGTATGCATGTGCTTACAGTCTAGATATGTTATCACAACTATTGCAATCATGAAGAATGAACTATCTTTACCTCATCACCACCTTCGTCCTCCTCAAGATCTTCTTCATCAGGATCCTGGAAAAAGTAACATTAGGCAAACAATCAGAGATAATAAACCGACTTCCATGACTTAACGATTAGTACAACACGGAAAACAAGAATGAAGATGGTAGGGAACAAACATTGTTAAAATAAGTTAGAGGGTTTGGCCACAAGTCGTCCTTGATTATCTCAGCAACCTACAAAACGGAGGGGGGAAATGGAAATAAAAATACTATATGTTATCGAAAAATACTATAAGTTGGGAAAATGGAATCTTCCTACAAATACTATACCTTATCCGTGAAAATCGTATAAGGTAATGGACTTCACTGAACTAAATAAGAAATAAAAATCTCAGTCAAGTAATGGACACAAGATAAAGACATTACTTCATCTTGAATCTCCAGAAAGACATCCTCGTCATCTTCACCATCGTCCTTCTGATTGACTTCACTGAACCAGCTAAAGAAGCTGCACATACAAGCCCCAAGGGAGAAATCAACTGAGCAAGAATGACATACAATATCAGCTACTGATGTTTATTCAAGTGCTACAGTGTAGACCAGGGAACTCAAGGCCACTGAGCATGTGATCCTTCCACTTATCATCTTATAACTAACTTCTAATGAGAATCATCATGCACTTGATGGGCTAACTCAGTCAGTGCAAAACTATTGCTAAAAGTGTTTCTACAGAGCTGAATTAACTAATAATCATCAGCATCAATCATAAAACTCGTGCCCCTGTTCTCATCAAGGTATTTAACATTTGATGCAAACACGTTGAACTGGGCAATGTTTGCAATGACAGTATAAATTAAGTTGGGCTCTGCATTACTATGTGAATATCAGCAACTTCCTATCCAATCCTGATTGGTAGTGAATGCTAACAAAGTTTCCTAGCAGAAACAAGGCAAATTAAGGTTTCAACCAATACAATCAAAATAAGTGACCGCTAGCAAGTTGATAAGCAGGGTATGTAAAACCTAATTGAAGTTTATAGAAACTTTCAAAGTTGATAGCTGATATATAATAAAAATCAAGAGACCTTCTTGAGCTTGTCTTGTTGATAAAATAAACCAATGGAAATA